CAGGCAGGAGGGCAGCTGAGCTGGAACCTGGGCTTCCATGTTGGCGCGTGGTGTGTAAGTAGCAATCTGAGAAGAACTGCAAAAGCCACCGGTGCCACTAGGAAAACACGACATAACAGGTATCACTTGGGCGTCAGGAACAGGGACCAGCACTGAAATAGCTTCTGTAACACTGAGAGAGAAGGAAGGGGACTGTACCATGTGTTTCTTTATACTGCATTTACACTTGCTTTTTGAAACTTCCCCTCATTTGAAAATTATTTAACAGCCCAATATAAACTGAGAGAAATATATTCTTAAGTGTTGCAGTTTTACACTCCTAAACAACTTCCCTCTATAACTGTTGCTGATTGTTAACACGTTCTCAGGGTCTTATCTTGTAGCAGAGTTAGGACTTCCATTCTTTTAACTCTACATTAATTTACTTATTCCTTCCCAGAGGGAAGTGTCCCACATATTAAATCAAGCAGAGTGGCAGACACAGAATTAGCCTCTCACTTCCCCCATGGAAATGATGTAAAGTTTCTCTTGCAATTTGTTCTCTTTCTGTTAAGCCTATACAGTGGATTTTTATCTCTAAAATACATTTTGCTGATTCTTCTGCTCCCAAAGCAAATACCTAACAAAACAGTAATTATTAACTGCTCATATTAACTATTAAAACTGCTCATTAAATTGAGCAGTTTTTTGATACATAAAATGTATCAAAATACATGGCAATAGGCAGACCTTGACATAGAGAAGAAACAGTCAAGACAGGATAAAATAAACAGCAAAAAACAAAAGGTGTCAGAGGAATGAAGGGCAGGAAGGGACTTGCAAGGGCAAACGGCGGCTGCAGGAATCAGGGCCAGGTTTAGAGCTCTGCGAGGAGCCAATTCCAGTAGTCCTTTATTCTCCTTTCACTTACTACTTCACAGCAAAAAGAAAACTTTACCTGCAAGAATATCTTAAATTGTAGCAGGATTTTTCTTTTTTTTTTTTTTTTTTTTATTTCTTCATTCACAATCGGGAGATAACTGCATTAAACAGCCTTTACCTAGAGGGATTTGAAACTCGTTTTAAAGCTAACGTCACATCACAGCTCAGAGGACACAGATCATGGCACATTAAGATGCTGTCCTCCTCCCCTGAAGCAAACACCGTTTACAAGGAGGTGTTACCATCAGCCACCTGCCGCTCTGGCTGTCAAGATCTTGACTCAGTCCATTGGAAACGCGCAGTTTTTCACATTATGCACCTGATCACATGTTTCGCAGAGACTCCTGCGTTTAACGAATATCCTTTCTGTATTTTCCGTGGCTGGGCAACACATGCTCTGGAGGGAACACGCTTCCCCTGTCATTTTGCTCATTTTCTCCTAAGTATCTTTCAGCATGATGATCTAGGCAGAGAACTTGGGTGCGGAGCTCGAGGGGTGTCTGGCAGCTCCGGCCCCTGGCAGAACCCTGGGACGAGGGGGACAGGAAGCTTGTCCGCCTGTGCTGCCCCTGGCCACTGCAAGCTCCACACACAATTTCAGATATTCTCTTTGTTTCTTTCTTTCTTTTTTATGAGGGAGTCATGACTGATTACAGGTAAAAATAGGGGGAAGGAGGGCTTTCCTCCCCAATGGGTCATTTTTATTTATAGTTCAGGTAGAGCACAGCAGCCCATGGAATATTTAGTATTTGTCTTCTACTCAGCTGTAAGAAAAAGAGTTTGCCCTGCATGCACAATCCAAAATAAAAAGGAACAAGAGGACACATTCAGGGAACAAAATAAATGGAAGGATAATTCGGTAGTGATCATTTCTATCAAACTGTAATACTTTCCAAAGGACATTTTTTTCTAGGTGATCACAGCACAGGGGACATGTATTCCCTTTCATCCAGCCACCGATTCTTTAGCTGTCAGAATTACAGGTCATATCCATCAGGGTTTGTAATTATTAGTTCTGGTATTACCTACTGGCACTACTTAGATGGAAAACATGTGGATTAGCAAGGCATAAAAGATTGGGTCATACATCTGTATTCATGTGCTTTATGTAACCCCTTCCCTCAGAGCATATCCAGCGGCTTTACATACATTAGCAAACCACGCAACTTCCATCCTGCTGAGGGCTCGCCCTTGTTTTACAGACGAGAAAGCTACAGTGCAGAGAAAAGGAGTTTATTTTGAATCAGTGGTGGCTGCAGTGCTCCATTGCAAAGGTGTCCTTCTAAATGCGTTGGCGTCCCTCGGCCCACGGCCCTGCCCACCCCGTTAGCCGCGGGTCCCCCTCGCAGTAACCCAGCAGCTGTTCTCGGTGGCAGCGCGGGCATGTTTGTGTGCTCACCAGAGCAGCTGGGGCCAGGGCCTCCGCAGCTGCAGAGAAAATACATAAATACGAGTTGCTAATGCAGCCCTAGGATCCAGGCAAGCTGAGGACTGAACCCCGAACAAGAGCCAGCTAAGCAGAAGTATTGGCCTACATTTTTCCTCCTCCTCGTGTAAGGCATGCAAGTTTCTATGGCAACTTGTGTTTTCTGTTCCATCAGGCCTACTGACTCATTTCTGTAGGAGCTGCACACTGAAAAAAATGTTTTCTTTCCCTGCCAAGTCAAGTGGCTTCATTTCTTTAGCCCATTGCTCTTGTCTGGGTAAGTGTGAGCAACAAAGCAATTGGTATTCGAAGCTGGCATTGCTGTGTAGATTCAGTTTAGGGTGACAACAAAAGGGAACCAAACATGAAAAGATTCCCATCTCCTTGAAAAATCATTGCAAGGAAGTCCAATTTGTCTGCTTTGCGGCAGGTTGCCAGCGCAGGTGGGTGCACTGGGAGCTGCGTGGGGAGCTGGGGGTGCCTTGTGTCAGGAGGGCAGCGCTTCCCCCAGGAGGCAGCCGGGCTGCTGGCGCTGTGCTAGGTGCGCGCGGCACAGTGTGAGCGGCTGCGGCCGCATGGCGGCAAATGCTGACACGCGCCGGGCGGACGCACGCGCCTTTTGCCTTCGGAGCTGTGCCCACGCCTCCACTACGCCATACAAACTGGCCCCTAGTCAAGGCTTAGCGGCCGTTGATGTCAGGGTCGCATGGAAGAGCCCAGGGAGCCTCTGCTTGAGGCAGCAGAGACGGTTTGTAAAGTGCGCGGGAGAAGAGGGTTGTATGTACAGGGACCTTGGGGACAGCACTTGTTTCAGAGGGAGCTTTTCCAAAGGAAAGACAGTAGTTAGGGACTACTTAGATGGTAACAGGAGCTCTGAAAGAAGGGCCTAAGGAAGACTGTGCCAGGAATGACCTTCTGGCTGCATGACAGCTGTGAAGCAAGTCCAGGCAGGTGGGTCCATGTCTCAGAGGGAAGGGATGGATGGCGTGGAGAGCCTGGAGCCAGGTGGTGAGAAACAGATTTGTTCCTGAGTACCCATATCTCCATAAAACATCTTAAAAAAAAATAGTAATCCTTTCTGGATCCAGTCTTCAGCAGGAATGGATCAGACCTCCCATGGTCTGATCTTACCCCTCCAGGTTTTAACCGGGAGACCTTCCTCGCTCTGTGAGCTTGGCTTTCCAGCTGAGCCCAGGGAAGCTGAGCAGCCATTTCTCCTTGAATTGGAAGTGGGGTCTTCACATCTACTGCTTCTAGGTGCCGCTGGAAAATCAGCCTCTTTACCCCAGAGAACACTGAATATTCACACAGCTAGTAATTCTCCTGAAGCTTTTTCTTTTACCTAATCACAAACATATGGTACACTTTAAGGGAGATTATCTTTACATTGTTAGCTTTAAAATGGAGCTTTCTTTTAGCTTTACAAGGTCACAGCAGCTATCCAGTCAAATGGTAGGGGAGAATAAAATGTTAACACAACATGACCTTGGTCAATCAGTTAATCTTTTTCTACCCTATTTTCTCCAGCAAAATAAAAGTCTGTCTGTGAACGCTGCAAAGTGCTTTGAGATCCTGGGGTGAAAGGTACATCATAAGCCCAGTGTATAAATTATTTAAGCTCTGATAGTATGCTTGGTCCTGAAAGGAATACTGATGAATTTACAATCTATTATTGTCTGTTTGTTTACGAGTTGCTAGTATTTACATTGACTGCAGTGATGGAGCTGTCAGTAAAGTGTACAGGTTGGAGTTTGCAGACACTGCATCGCTTCTCCCTCTCTATGGTTCACACCACTAAGATTTTAGAAATGACAGTGGAGTCTGTGCAGCTGTAGCAGCAGCACATCTGCTTCAGAGAGAGGGAACGTTTTAAGCAAGAGACCCATGTCAGCATTTTATGCAGAGCTCCTTAGTAATTATACTGGGGAAGAGGAGGGATGTCGGCAGCACCGGAGGTCAGAGTGTGCGTTGTCAGCCCAGCCTGGACTGCAGAGAGCGCACACTGGAAGGGCGAGGGCTCGCTCGCCCTCTTCCTTGTTGTAATTTCAGTTCTGAGGTTTTGTGGGAAAACCTAATCTGAAATTGCTCAGAAATCGGCTTTCTGATTGTCACATTAAGCTGGATTACCCAGGGTAAAGCTTTGTTTTTTAGATTTTTAAATGCTGAATAATTTATGTGCACATTGCCTACTGAACTCAACTGTGACAGTTTGGCTGCTCCAGACCCTTTTAAAACGGATCCAGAGAATGACTGTTTTAAGATACCTGCAAACTTTGAATTCTCTTTTGTTTCAGTGTCAGAGTATGGGGGGTTTGTTTGTTTGCTGGATTGGGTTTTGTTGTTTTCCTGGGGCAGGGGCTACATCACTTTATGTCATCATGGTTTTGTTATCATTCCATTTTAATATGTGCAAAGACTTGTTCAATACAAGCATGAGTATATAGAGCCAGAAAAGGAAAATTGTGTTTTTATGAACTATACAGAAACATATGGTGTTGCTAATAAATCTAAATAAACTTTTTGTCAAATTAATTGGTTTGAGCCATTCAAAAGCTTATATTTTCATATATATGTATTGTAGGATGTATTTTATAATAAAATAGTATATAGAGACATAACTTACTTATTCAAGTGTTGTATTGTCATTGTGCAGAGCCTTTGTCCCTGAAGAGCTTACTACACTCCTGTATGAGGCCATCTCATGTATGGACGTTGATGCTGGGTATGTAATTTCTATAATAACTTTGTTTTATTTTTAGTATACTACATCCTTACTGACTGTAGGAAATGGGGTCAGAATGTGTTGATTATTCCCTCATGGTGGATCAGCTTTGGTTAACTCATCAAAAGCAAGAAATATCTATTAAATGTTCTTTTGCTGAGTCCTCAATTTAAATGAGCTTGCAAGGAACAGCAAATATTTTTCCTCCCATTTCTGGACTAATTTCTGCAGCCCTCAGAAGTCAGAGCCTCCCCAGAGAGGCCAGACTAATGTCTGAGAAACACTACTCTGAACAAGTCCAAATGCTGCTATTCAGCAACACTATAATAATCTCACCTAAATACACCAGCTTCCATCCATCCAATGATTGACCCAATATATGAAGAATCCTTGGTAATTGTGATCACACAATGCTGGCTAGCAAGCTATTCTTTACACAGGTCTTTACCAAGACAGTGTATTATCCTTACACAATAAGTTATTGACACCATGTCAGATGCTGACATTTCTGGTGGGGTTATTGACAAGGATTGTTCAGTGCTGTAAACAGATGGCTGCCTATAGCTCTGTACATCATGCCTGCTCCCCCTGAGCTTGGTGCACACGGAGATCACCCCGCACCCCCCAGCTGAGGGTAGCACGACAGATGCAGCAGTCACAGCTGTGCAGATGAAGGCTTCACGTGGCGGTTCTGCCTCTTTGTTATGTATGAAAAATACGCAAGCATGGCCCATGCAGACTGACAGCACTTGCTGTCAGAGTACAGCTTAGTAAACCAAGAACTGTTTTCTTGGTTTAACACATACACATTCCTCTCTCTTACCCCATCAGTTAAAATTTACTCAGCACAGTCTTATATCCTCGTTTTTTATATGTCTGGATCAGTAGCATGTTCTCTCGTTGCCCATTGGTTTTATTTTAATTGTAGCTGTCTACAAAAAGCTAGCTTTTAGTATTTCTGTATTAAAGACAAGCATTTAATATAAAGTATGCAGATCTTTCAAATATCTGTATACACATTTAGCAGCCTCAGACTGAAACTGTTCCTGCTAAGTTACTGCATAAAAGTAAGTATAGTATCATGAATGTTTATTTGATTGTCTAATCAGTCTGGAAAAGTTCACAGAATTGAATAATATTACTGTACAAGACTATTGGCATAATAATCTATTTTAAACGCACAATTCAAAAGAAAATATGGTAAAAAACTTTTATTGTATTATTGTCTTGGCTATTCAGATTTCAAATCTAATCATCGTCTACAACTATGCTATAAGCATCGTAATACTGCAATTTTTTAGAAAGCTTCTGGAAACAGGTATGCAGGAGCTCATGTTTAACCCGTAGGTCTGCAAATGCACGAAACCTCCCACTGGAAATTGGCATAGAGATTGTGCTTTACCAGAACAAGCTTAGGACAGAGCATTGGGTTACTGAGGTGAAGAGAAATGGACTGAATCTAATGCACTGAAGGCATTAGATTGTAGCAGTGTGTGGGTCCATCTACTGGTTGTACTAAAAAAATGTTTTGATTTCTAGTCTCCAGAGCTTGATTTCTAGTCTCTAGTATCAATGCTGAAGAACAGAAGTCCTTTAAAATACTGATTAGGCGAGTAGGATTAGGCACTTAGGCATTTGGAGAGTTGAGCGTGAGTATGTGTCTCCAAAACCCCACTATCTCCCATTTCCATGCAGTTTTCGCCATACAGCCCTGTGAGACACCAGACTGCCAAATGGATGGAGTATATAGGAGCTAAGTATGTGTACAGGTCGGTCTGCTGAGCCCTATAAATGTGACTCCATGTTAGCACTCTGCCCTGGAAGCACAGAGCTGAGAGCTGGTTTGCCTTGCTTTTGCTTGGAGTCATTGGGGAATCTGCTGTACTCTTTGGAGCGGACAGGGCTGGAGGAACAGAGAGCAGCTGAAAACAACACATCAATGCTGATAAACTGCATAGCTTTGGTATCCAGAAGAGTTACTGAAAAATTGAGAGAATAAAGAAAAAATAACCTTTATTGCTTCCAGTGTTTTATAATGTATCTCAGAGTGAGAATTTGTAACAGCTCCATGTGTTTGCTATACCCAAAAAGTTGAAGGTTGAATGTATTACAATATTAAACTACTTTTCTGGGGAGTAAATACAAGGTTCTAATAATTTCCTCGAGTTAGCAGAGAAAGGTGTAACAAGGCCAACTGCCTGCAAGCTGAATTCCGACATCTTCAAGGTAAAAATTAAACACACCTTTTTACAAGAGAGTGTAATTAATCACCAGGACAAAGCACCCGTGGCAGTGCTGGATTCTCCTGCTTGTGCTGTCTCCAGGTCACAGCTCGGTATTTTTTGAAAGGTAGACCTTAGCATGGTCTAAGCTACCCTTAGATCAAGCCAAAGTTACTGGGCACAATGTGGAGATTTCTGGGTGAAATGCATTGGCCTATGCTGTTTGAGAAGTCCCAGCAGATGATGTGACGATCCCTCTGGCTTCAGTTACCAAGCATGGGTGCTGTTTTCTGATTTACACTCACACGAACAAAAGCAAAACACCAACTTCCAGGGGAAGATGGAGAAATCTGAGCTTTTCAGAGCATTGATCTAGTCTTGGCACTTCTCAGTGCTGCCGGAAGATGGCATATAGTGCATTTACATTCTGTATTGGGGTTTATAGTGGAGAGAACTTCGGAAGTTTGCAGGCATATCCAGGTTCCGTCCCTTACACTGACACAGGCTTTCAAGGATGAATTCCCCATTTAAGAGTGATTTTTGTTTGATCTAGGAAATGTTGCATCATGTTGTCTGGTAATGCCCCAAGGATCCAACCTGATGCAAAACTCCACAAATTGTAAATAATTACTTGAACTTTATATAATGCCATCAGCAAACCTGTAAACAAGGAAACACATTTTGCTGAGTGCAGTAGGATTTCATTTCTTGTGCTATTGTTTTCTCTGAACCCAGCTTCATGTTTAAGATGTTACCCAAAATCACCACTCGCAGTACATGGAAGCAGTTGAATTTACCCATTATTACCACTGATTTTAAGCCTACTTCAACAGAATTATAATAGAGATTGTGTCTGATATATACCATCAGAATATCATCCAGTGCTTCCTAAAGGCCTACACAGAAAACACTAAACAAATAAGAAAGTTAAAATGCCCTCAGCATTCCTCTCAGAGTGTTAAAAATCACATCTCTGAAACCATATATACCTTTAAAGGAAGCAAGCCTTCAATTCTCGTAGGTTACAGCTAGTATTTGTGGAAGATGAAAAAAAAAATATTAGTTGAAGAATCTGAGAGTTTCAGAACTACAGATAGAAATGGAAAAGTAATTCTAACACCATCAGATAATATATAGAAATTTGCCGTTCCAGTAGTATATACAAGAATTATCAGGCTCCAAAAAATAAGCAGTTGTCACAAGTTAATGTGACATAAGTCTTTATAAAGTCTTCACAAACTCCATCCAAATAAGTGTTCTGGTTTACTGCTGACCCTAGTAACAGGGTCAGATGATTCAGCAAAAACTTTCATTAGTGTAATCCTCCAGAGGTGGATGAAAACACAATTGATAGAGTTTGGATGTGTTCCCAAGCTGCTACATTGGTTGAGTTCAAAAACTTGCAATAAATGAATTTAATACGGAAACATCACTCTGACAGGAGTATCTAATGGCACCAATCTGCACTTTCAGCTGCCAGCGTCAGGAGCTAGCTTAGTATCTGAGCCCAAGGAGCTCAAGGCTTCAGAACAAACAGCTCCCCTTGGAGATTAAAGTGTTGCAAAAGATGTTACCAACAGCCAGAGAGAGAGTTTTGCCTCTTACTAAAGCAGTTAACCCAGCACGTGCCTCAACTGCTCAAATGCATCTGAAGACATTTCTTTTAAAAGCTGAATTCTAATCTGCTTTAGACCATTGCTGTTTTATTTTTAGTAGGGTCCTCTTATAACTCCTTTTTTTGTCCTTATTTTTGTATCTGACTTGCTGAAAACTGAGAGTTTGTAATGCTTCTGTAGTATAAAGTCTCAACGGGCTGGCCAAACAATTGCCTGTGAAGTGGCAGGAAGGTCCCGTGAGTCCCTGCGGCCAAGTAAGTACGTGTGGCCAAGAGGTAGGGTTTGTAAAGTCAGCTTGGCAGCCCTGTCAGCTGTACGGTCCTAACAAGGGAGCATCTAGAAGAATGCTCCATACACCCGCGTGCTTGCAGGATCACATACATGACAGAGAGGAGGTGGGCAATGGAAGCATCTGTGGTCTACCCTAGTTACGTACTGAGACCTGTTCTAGAAAACTGTAGCTCGCATTGTCAATCTAGATTGCAATAAATGCAGTCCCAGCTGTGGATTTCATGCCTTGTATCTCTCTGCTGGACAGCCTAAATTGCCATTTTTTTCCATTATCTTGTTTGACTGCAGTGTTTTTTGGAAGTGCCAGGCTGACAAGTATAAAATTTGAAATCTAACAGTCCTGTCATATAAACAAGAAAATAGCATGAGCTGCCCCTGGCCTACCCAAAGCTCTGATGGTGTTCTTAAGCTTTGGTTTCATGGGTGTCATTTATTTATGGGCTTCTCTGCTATGATCAGAGAAATCTAATTTTTAGATGTAGCATATACAAACATAGAAAGCACATATAGAATATATCTGAAGACATCCAGGATACAAACTGAAGCATCTCAAAATAAGGAAATGTCAGATTAAGGTTGCTCTAAAGTAGCTTTTATTGAGCTCCTTAGGATATATATACTTATATCAGTAATTATGCTATTTTTATACATGTCTCCTGCTCAATTTAGTACGCAGACTAGACTTCTAATGGAAAGAATCAGGGCTGAGTCATGGAGGGCATTTATGTTGCTAAAACTCTGTTTCATTTATTGCAGAAGCTGCGAGGTGTGAGTTTACAAAGGTGTGCAGGAGGAGAAGGGATGATTGAACAGTTAGAGCAGCTGAAACGTTCCTTGCAGACTCGAGCACACCCCTCCGTTAGCTACAAATAGCTGGATGATACCAGGTAAGCTACCTCAGACACATTTTCCCAGATAATCATTAACTTCCACTCTTTTGTGATGATACATTCATTAATGTCAGGGAAGAGTTCAGGTAACAGAGAAGTGCATGGAAAAGCCCAGGAGCTTTCTATGGGCAGAGAAAGATGCCATGAGTGCGCAATAAGTGAAGCCATCAGCAATACACAGGGTGACGAGGAAGGACAGGATAACACACTGAATAACTTTTATGTGAAAGATTCCCAGCATGTTGCATATCACATAGATTGCTTACAGAGAGAGAAGCTGGTTAAAAATTCCATAAAAGGCACTTCTGAATGCTGATTTTGCCTCCCTAGCATTCTTTATTGATATTTTTGGTGGTAAATTCCTAAAACTTAAAAATGAGAATGAGAATTCTATAAGAATTTATATATTTTTAATTCAGTTCCTTCAGTGAGATGCATTATTTCTGCTAATCCATTTCTCTTCTCTTTAATATCCTTTCTAACTTCCCCCAAAAAGCCAGTCAGAGCCAGATACTTAATATGAAAAAATCCAATATGGATAATTACATTTTTATTTAGTTTTATGAGGTACTGGAAAAGGAGCCTTACAATAGAGAATGTTAAGTGACCTTAAGCATAGATAGCACTTTCAGCTCTGCTTGGAGGTATTCCCAAACACAGGAACGACATGTGATGATTTTGTGTGGACGCTTTTCAAAACACTCCCTGTGTCCTTGTGGTTGCTCAAGAGAAAGGGCTTGGATTTTCCTCTCCGTGTGGCCACATCATCACACACCAGGTCGGGCAGGCAGACACGCGGAGCTCTGAGTCACGCACAGCCACCGAGTCTGTGGTTAGGAGCAGGTCGGGAAAGGGCCTTTGAAACCAGCATAGAGAGGGAAAAACAGTCTGCCCTAAGAGCTGTACTGAGACCCTAGGCAGCTTATGAGCAAAACCTTTTATTTATGGCAACTTTAATATTGGAGATAGAGTAAACATTTCAGACAAGCTCATACTGGCTGTATTAAATATATAAATATGATCTATTGTATAATAGTATAGTAATATAATTATATATCTATTATATAATAGATAATATATATATATTTCTTCACCTTAGGGTATTTTGGGACAAATGTAGCTGTTGAAGCTAGGCAGTACAAGACTCGGTGTTACCTTTTCTGCTGTGTGTGTGCACGGACACGCTCTGGTGCCCAGGGCACAGCAATGCTCTCCCCGAGCCCTGGATGGTCCCTCTGCTAACGTGTGCGCGCTGTGCGCGTTGCTTCCAGGTGCCCTGAGCCGCTCAGCCCTGCTGCTTTCGCTTTCGTTTGGAGTTCCCGCTATTTCCTTTCACTTTCTGGCCCCCGCAGGGTTTGCGCTGCTAGCCCGTGGAGGAGTGTCAGTTACTGAATGGGATAAACCTTTATTAGCTTTAATGGCACCGTTTTTAATACTGAGCAAGAGCTTAGAGCGTTGGTGACTCTTCAGTGTCTTACTGCCATGAGCCGGAGCGCCTCCCTGCACCCGGCTGCTTTCCTGGCTGCGTCCTGGCCCGTGCCTCGGTGCCGGCTCCGCCGCTCTCCTGGCGGGGCTCCCTGCCCCGCTCCTGCCTCTGCAGCTCGCTCTGCAGCACGCTGCGGCTCAGCGTGAGGCGGCCGCTGCAGCCTCCTGCTCCCGGCCCCCGGCCGCGCGGGTGTCCCGTGCTTTGCCCTGACCTGCGGGCGCGCCCCGCGCCGCCGCCCCCGCGCCGCCAGCCGGGGCCGAGCGCAGCGGCGCGGGCGCGGTCTCGGCGGCGGCGCCTTTAAGGAGGGCGCGGGCGGCGCGGGGCGCCCATGTGGAGGAGCTCCATGCCTTGTTGTCCTGCGCGCCCATTGGCCCGCGCCGCCATGACATATTTTAATAGGATGCAAACGCACTGCGGGGGGAGGATCGCCCGGAAAACCCGGCAGCGGGAGCGCGGCACCTGCCCTGCCCGCCCCGGCTCCCGCGCCGCCTCCCGCCGCCGCGCGCTGCTGCCGCCGCCCCCGCCCGCGCGCACCGGGGCTCCCGCCGCCCGCGCTGCCGAGAGCGCGTCCCTGCCGCGCGCCGCCCCGCGCCGTCCCGTCC